GTATTATTTTTTGTTGTAGCTACTACTTTATTTAGTTTAATAAGAGTAATAAATTGGCGTATATACTTTTCATCAACAATAATGCAATCATTGATTTTTTTTTTTTAAAAATACATACAAAAAATATTAATGCAAAAGTATAATTGAAATATTAAGTTTTTTTTTTCTGATCTAAATAATCAAAAGAATATTAAGTTTTTTTCTGATCAAATGATTTTTAAATTTCTTGATTTATAATCTTTGATGCTTAACTTTGAATGTTATATATTTAGTCAGACTAATTATTTGAACAAACTTTATGTTAAATTTTATATTATATATATTTTATATTTTAAATATATTTTAACATATTCGTAGTATATATGTTTAACAATTATGCCAACTCTAATTGGGATGTGGTTCGAAACTAAGACTTTTCTTATAAAAATTAATGTATAAGTTAAAATAATAAATACTTAACGGAATATTCCGTTAGTAAAGTTTATGCTAACGGAATTTAGGTTATTTAAGGGAAGAAAATAATATAATAGAGGGTAAATAAGGAAAATTAATAAAAAATACTAAAATAAAAATAATATGAACCATTCATTTTAAGAAACAATAGTATAATATGAACCATTCATTTTAAGAAACAATAGGACCGATATTTTTTTGTTCCAGTTAAGGGCCTAACATTATTGGCTCTTATTAAAATTGTAGATGTAGATAAATAATAATTTAGTAGCTACAACAAAAAATAATACATATGCATTTCTTTAATTTAGAATTATGTGTCTACAATGTCTTTATTCAAAAAATAAAATAAAATTATTAATTATCAATAAATTAAATAAGAGAAATAATTTCATTAGTTATATTGTCTTTATTTTTCTCCAATATAAAAATTCTTTACATTCAAATTCATCAATATTTGATTATATACGCTATATTGTCCCTACAATGTCTTTATTAAAAAAATAATTATTCATTATCAATAAATTAATTAAGAGAAATAATTTTATTAGTTATATTGTCTTTATATTTCTCCAATGTAAAAATTCTTTACATTCAAATTCATCAATTGATTATATTCACTACATTGTCTATTATTTTTTTTGTGCACTATTTATTAATTAAATATCAAAGTTATAATACAAAATAATTATATATATTTATTTACCAAGTATTTTATTAATACCATGAAAAAATTAAAAAATTATAATTAATAAAGCCAATTCAATCATATTAACTACTTGAGGGGTTTGTTGACAAAGAGAGTATTCAAATCACACAACAATTTGAAGTGAGAATTACCTTTCAATGTCCGTGTTTGACAATCAGCAGTTAGCGTTAGCGGATTTGACCAGCAAATTATATCAACGGTTTGTAAAAAGATATTTAAAAAAAATTAGCTGTTTAGATTGACATGTAAAATGACCTACCGGTATACATATATTTAATAATAATAATAATAATAATAATAATAATAATAATAATAATAATAATTGTTTTAGAAAAATAAAAAAATATAACTAAGTCAATCATATTAATTAACTACTTGGGGGATTTATTGACAAAAAGAGTATTCAAATCACACAGCAAATTGAAGTTGGATACTACACAATGTCGTTGTTTGACAATCAGCAGTTAGCTCTTAAATATTAGTATATATTTAATATTTTATGCCCTAATTTTTATTTGCTCTCCCTTATGTCCCGTATTTAATTTCAACCATACCTATACAATTATTTTATAGACAATTATAATCAGTCTTGACTATATTATCTTGCATTTGTAAACTTAGAATTACTTATTTAAATCTGCAAATTCAACATTCAATTATCTATGTATAAACAATTCTAATATAATCTTGCCTTCATATACTTTAAAGTACTTATTTAAAAAAAAAAAAAAACATTAAGCAATATCAAAATTACACAATGTACGTAAAAAAAACTAGTATATAAATAAACAAGTAAAAATAGCGAGGAATCACAAATTAAAAAGCGCAATTATGTCACTCCGGTACTATCAATAACAAGAATAGCCCTTAATCTATTTAGATGATAGTCTTTGTACATGTGTTACCATCCCATCTGTGGGGTTGTCATGCATGCTGGACACAGGTAACAGTGCTGTTAGACACTGTTATTTCCTTTTTTTTTTTTTTTTTTTTTTTTTTTCTTCAGATCGCTTCGTTATAGGAGTATATGTTCATAATTTTATTACTATATGTTAATAATTGTACATTCATAACTCCATAACTGTACGTTCATAACTCTATAACTGTATATTCATAATTCCATAACTGTACATTCATAACTCCATAATTGTACATTCATAACTCCATAATTGTACATTCATAATTTTTGAAGCTCTATGTTCACAATTTTAGAGCTCTATGTTCATAATTTTATCACTATATGTTCATAATTGTAAGTTCATAATGTCAGAGCTCTTTGTTCATAATTCGATCAATAACTGTACATTCATAATTCCATAATTGTAGATTCATAATCTCATAAGTGTAGATTCATAACTCCATAACTGTAGATTCATGACTCTATAACTGTACATTCATAACTCCATAATTGTACATTCATAATCTTCGAAGCTCTATATTCACAATTTTAAAGCTCCATGATCATAATTTTATCACTATATGTTCATAATTGTAAGTTCATAATGTTAGAGCTCTGTGTTCATAATTTCATAATTGCATAACTGTACATTCATAATCCAAAAAAAAAAAAAAATAACGCCGTTAACGGCAAAACACGCGCGATTTTTTTTTTTTTAAAAACGACGTCGTTTTGGGCCCGTGTCCACAATTCATTGTGGACACGGGTCCAGGGCATAATTTGCCACCAACTTACCATCCAATCTGTAGCAAAATGGGCCTCAGAGCATCTACATTAGTTGGGGAGATTTGGGAGATAATGTAAGAGTGATTAGGAAAGAGAATGTGGGAGGGGAGAGAAAAAGAAAGAAAAAAAAATAACAAAACAAAAATTGAAAAAAAAAAATTATAAAAACCTGCCGCGTCAGGCGCGCTACACGGGCGCGTGCGTTGCACGCGCACAGCCAGTGTTCTTTTTTTTTTTTTTTTTTTTTTTTCTGACATTATGCTTGAATTTGCAGAACAATTATTTTCACAAATAACCCCACCCCACATTTTTTATTATCCCAACCCAAGATAATTCATCTGACAATATCTTCATAATATCCACTGATGTGGATGCTCTCATGTGAACATATCGAATTGTCGAATAATAATTTTAATATAGAAAAAAAGAATAAGGTTCAAATTGGTCACTAAACGTAACCTGAAAATACAATTAAGTCACTGAACGAAAAAAAAAAAAATAAGAAAGTGTAATTAGGTCACTGAACACTCCAAATGTATACAATTTTACCTGATAGCAGGTTACCATCAATTTTAGCAGGTTACTTGCTTACTTGGCAGCTGAATTGACATTTTTAATAATTTTTAAATAATTTTTAATAATAATTAAAAAAAAAAAGATCGGATGGCCGTCGGCCACCCCGTCGTTTTATTTTTTTTATTTAATTTTTATTCAATTTTTTTAAATTTATTATTAAAATTTATTAAAATTATTTAAAATGCCAACTCAACTGTCACATAAGCAGGTAATCTGATAAAGTTGATGGTAACCTGCTATGCGGTGAAATTGCATACATTTGGAGTGTTCAGTGACCTAATTGCACGTTTTTAGAGTGTTCAGTCATCTAATTGTATTTTTTTTTCGTTCAATAGCGTAATTATATTTTCAAGTTATGTTCAGTGGCTAATTGAAACCTTATTCCTAGAAAAAATAATAATTTTCTTTATTAGAATGACAATGATTTAATTAATTTATTAAGCTTTTCATAATATAAAATTGGACTTTGTAGTTCCGGCCTTTCATTTCTTCATAAAATTAAAATGATTAGATAGATGGCTAGATTTAGAATGTACTTGAAGTCTTGAAGAATGGTCCCAAATTAATTAGGTAGAAATTATTTTCAATGATTTAACTTTTAGGTGAAACTTTCTACTTCTTGTTCACAATCTAGTTTTATAGGTATCAATTAAATATTCTATTTAGTATCTTAAAAATTATGTTTGGTTACTAAACAACTTAAGTACTTAACTCTTGATGTGTACGGTGCACCTATATAATTTTTTTTTTTTCTTTTAATTTTTCTTGAGTAATTTTTATAGTACATTCAAAATAAAGTTCGGTATCATATATATATATATATATATATATATATATATATATATATATATGTGTGTGTGTGTGTGTGTGTGTGTGTATATATATATATATTTATTTATTTATTTATTTATTTATTTAATGCTTATATTCAGTTCTGATAAGAATTGATTAGATTAGAACTGAATTTTATTTTCTCTCTCTACGCTCAAATCTTGATTCAAAAGTAACTTGATCTAGTCTATATTGTAGTCCTTCTATTACTATACCTACTCCCCACTTTATTATTATTATTTATAAATAACAACAACAACAACAACAACAACAACAATAATAATAATAATAATAATAATAATAATAATAATAATAATAATAATCTACTACACTAATAAGAGGCTAAGAGCCCAAGAGAGTTGGACCTATAATGGGTAGAAAAATGACGGTCAAATTTTTTAATCAAATGAATGGCTCAAATTGATCAGATTTTAATTTTTTCTTAAGATTTCCTAATTTCTACTATCTACTATATCTACTATCTATCTACTATACTAATAAGAGTCCAAGAGAGTTAGGCCTATAATGGGTAGAAAAAATGGCGGTTAAATTTTTTAATCAAATGAATGGCTCATATTGATCATATTTTAATTTTTTCCTTAAGATTTTCTAATTTATCCTTAATGAATATGATTATCCGTTAATTTTTTTTGTTAAATAATATCTTTTCCATTAATTTCTGTTAGTTCACCGTTAACTTACTCATTGACTCTCGACCAAAACATTGTGGTTGACGCTTTGGCGAAAATGGCTCTCGACCACGACTTTGGGCTACTTTCACTGACCGACCCTCCTGACGAGATCAGAGAGCTCTTGGACGATGATATGTCTGGTTTTCCTAGTTGGCGCAATGTGCATGCCTCTTTGTAAAACTCAGTGTCTTTTTGGGGTTTCCCCCTTCCTTCTTATATAAAAAAAAAAAAAAGAACAAATTGCACTTTTGGTCCTGTGACTATTATGGTACTGATAATTTGAGTACGTGACTTTCAAAACTCTCAATTTAAACCTTTAACTACGCAATTATTAACAAATTTGGTCCTGCCGGAAAAATGTAATTCTTTTAAAATTATTTATTTATAAGGGCAAAATGGTCATTTAACGTCATTTCTTCTTCCAAACTGCTGGAAATGGGCGGGAGAATTTCTTGGGGAAGATAGACAATGGCAACAAGTTCTACATGTGGAACGTCCGAGAGGTGAGCAACCCGGAGGCATTCAACCGGAAAACGAAGGAGTTGTTGAGCGAACTAGCGGAGAAGGCGTACGGGGTGAACAGTTTGTACGCGACCGGGGAGACGGAGCTGGGCGGGGGATCGTCGACGGAGAAGCTATACGGCTTGGTTCAGTGCACTAGGGATCTCTCCGGCGAGGATTGCAAGAAGTGCTTCGACGGCTCCGCCGGAGAGCTCCCAAACTGTTGTGATTCCAAAGAGGGCGGGAGAGTTATGGGAGGGAGTTGCAATTTTAGATATGAAATCTATCCTTTTGTGAATGATGCTTGAAATGACGCCGTCGTCTGATTCTTCCACGGTTTAAAATGCTTTGCCTGCCGACCGGAGAACGGTCTGTTTCACAGAATCCTTGGCCTCTCCGACCTTTTCCTCGGCCTTCTTTTCCCTGCCGGAAAATTCTTCTTTCATGTGCTCCATCTTTCTTGACGCCTCTATTTTGATGCCCATTTTGCCCTTATAAATAAAGAATCAGACGACGGCGCGACCGGGGAGACGGAGCTAAGCGGGGGATCGTCGACGGAGAAGCTATACGGCTTGGTTTAGTGCACTAGGGATCTCTCCGACGAGGATTGCAAGAAGTGCCTCGACGGCGCCATTGGAGAGCTCCCAAACTACTGTGATTCCAAAGAGGGCGGGAGAGTTGTGGGAGGGAGTTGCAATTTTACTTTTCCGGTGGTTGCCGGGGAGCGCTTTTCCGCAGACGCAAGAAGAAGAAGGAGAAGAAATGACATTAAATGACCATTTTGCCATTATATATAAATAATTTTAAAAGAATTACATTTTCCGGCCAAAATTGGCCGGCAGGACCAAATCTGCTAATAATTGCGTAGTTAAAGGTTTAAATTGAGAGTTTTGAAAGTCACGTACTCAAATTATCAGTACCATAATAGTCACAGGACCAAAAGTGCAATTTGTTCTAAAAAAAACTTACTCATTGACTTCAATAAGAAAGGTCTTAGGTTCGAACCTCATCCCAATCAAAGTTGGCATAATTAGTACTCTATTTTACTGTTATTAAATTAAAAAAATAATAATTTAGTAGCTACGACAGAAAATAATATACATATGCATTTCTTTAATTTAGAATTATGTGTCTACAATGTCTTTATTCAAAAAAAATTATTCATTATCAATCAATTAAATAAGAGATATAATTTCATTAATTATATTGTATTTCTTTTTCTCAAATATAAAAATTCTTTACATTCAAATTCATCAATTGATTATATTCGCTACATTGTCCCTATAATGTCTTTATTAAAAAAAATATTCATTATTAATAAATTAATTAAGAGAAATAATTCTATTAGTTATATTGTCTTTATATTTCTCCAATGTAAAAATTCTTTACATTCAAATTCATCAATTGATTATATTCACTACATTGTCTATTATCTTTTTTATGCACTATTTTTTAATTAAATATTAAAGTTATAATACAAAATAATGCAATATATTTATTTACAAAGTATTTTATTAGTACTATGAAAAAATTAAAAAAATATAATTAATAAAGCCAATCATATTAACACCTTGAGGGATTTGTTGACAAAGAGAGTGTAACACCCCCCAAAACAACAAGACTTAAAACGAGTCTTAACACCTGCAAATCAAGCACAAAACTAGCACAGCGGAAGATAAAAAGATAACTGGATAAAAGGAATCCAAAACGGGGTGTTATGCCACTATACCACACTAGGTATACGCTACGGCGACAATCTGCAAGTGTAACATTATCCCAAAAACAACAAACTAGAACAATCTAAAGACATTGGCACACAGGCCTCAACAACACTGTCTAAAGATACAGGTGCTAAGCTATCGGCTCTAGACATCGCGCTCGACTACGCATCACCTGAAAGATACAAAGATAAACATCGGGGCGACGCCAGGTCAGCGAAAGATGCTGGTAACCCACCAATACTGTTAAGTATCATAAATAGGTAGATATATAATATGAAAATCATTTTCGAAACGGAATACATATATATAAGTCAAAAGCCAAGATCAAAAGACAACACAAGAAGACGCTCAACTAGTTCCTACATGGATACCTACCATAAAGCTCTAGACCTACGAAACATCAAGAAGACGCTCAAATAGTTCCACAAAAGAACAACGGGAGGCCAAAAGATCAAAGACCGAGACAAACAAATCACGGGGAACAAATCCCGAACCAAACGCCACCGTGTACCCTGCGGGTGGACCCACGGGTAGTGCCCCACCCGTGGTTCCGCCAGCGGGTACACTACCCACAAGGCACATGTTCCCCGCGGGTAGGCCGGCGGGTGGTGCCCCGCCCGCCGTTCCGCCCGCGGGTACATCCCTGTACAACAACAAATCCCTTCGGGGATTTTCTTTTCTAAACACAAATTCAAGTCCAAAACATGCCAAAACTCACCAAGCACAACAAAATGACTTGAACCAAGGAAAATGCCAAGCAATGGCACAAAGGAAACCTAAACACAAGCTCTAGATATGCAATATCACAAGATAAATGCATAAACTCTCACATTTCATATCAAAACACAAGTAGAAGCCAAGAAATCATATATAGGTAAGCAAAATAGGTTTTGTAGAGCATGGGTTACCTCTTGAAGACCAAAAGACTCTTCTTACACCACAACAAGCTCTCCACTAAGCTCACTAGCCAAACCCACTTCAAGATCAAACCAAAAGATCATAAAGATCCAACCTTTAAGAAAAGACAACCAAGATGGAACCAAAAAGACTAGACAAGCTTAGATCTTACCCTTCTAGATTCCAAAATAGAGGAAAGATTGAATCTTGGAAGCAAAACTTGGAATCTTGACAAAGGCTTCTTTTGGCTTGAAGAACAAGCTACTCTTGTTTTCTAGAGAGAAGGTAGAGATATTTTCTAGGAAATGTAAGGGAATGAAATGAAGAAGTCTTCTAGGTTTTGGTTACAAAGCTAACTCTTGGTGAAAAGACAAGGATACCCTTACTAACTCTTAGAAAGTGTAAGGAACAAGGGAACTCCTCTCAAAGCACAAGGTACAACACCACTTAAAGATTGACTAGTCAAATACTAGTCCTTGAGTATCAAAAATCAGGATTTTAGGAATCAATTCCTCAAAAGAAATAGAATTAATTACTCAATTAATTCATGGTTTGGAGTGTGGATTTTTGGGGTGTCACATCCTCTCCCTCTTCAAAGAAGTTTCGTCCCTGAAACTTGGGTACAACGAATTAAGAATGAAAGGTAACAAGGAAACAAAATTGTGACAAGAAGTCCAAGAATATCCCTTTTGGGTCAAAAACTCCAAAAGTTCTCACAAGGTTCCAAGGCAAAGAGAAAGACATTACGATTTCAAGGATAGGCAAGAGGTCAACAAACGGATAGATTGGCATTAAGAACTCTAACCTCAACACAACAACCAACTTCTAGACAATAACCAAGAACTAAACAACTAACCCAAACACCATCTAACACACTAGCTAAACAACAAGGCAACAAACAAAGCAAGCGAGCACACAAAGCACACAACAACCAAACACCAAACTACAAAGGCTAAGAAACAACAAAGAAAGAAACGAACGGGGTTACCACAACACAACTAGAACTCTTCACTCTCTGACTCTTCAGCCTCTTCAGACTCTTCTTCTTCGGCTACAACTCTGTGACTAGAACTAGCTTCAAACCGATCAAGCCTCTGATGCACTGCGGCAAACTGCGACCTCACAAACGCAAAACCCTCGGCGATCAAACTGTTCTGCTGACGAAGTAAAGAGGCGACATCCTGCCCTCTCTTGGTGCGAACTTCTTCCCTTCTACGGCGTTCCTCACCGTCTGATTCACTTACTTCAACTTCAGTGGTCTCCGGTATTCCTTCTTCTTCTTCCTGATCTGTTTCCTCCTCAACTTCTTCGTCACCACCCAAACTCTGGACTGCAAGGCTCAACTTCCTGGCATGAATCTCAAGCTCAGCAGCTAACTCTGCTCTCTCAACAGGTGCTTTCCTAGCAACCTCTTCAAGCGTGATGTACTCACCACTATCCAACAGAAAAAGATTACAACTCCGGTGATTGGCGGTATCCAACACCATCTTTCCCACAGCCTTCGAGGGACAACCATCCACACTAACACCTTTCTTAACCAAGATCCAACTTAGCACCATTCCATACGGCAAACTCTTTCGGTTGTGATCCCGGCAAAACACCATGTGTTGCATCATCAAAGCAGGCAGGTTGAACTTAACCATATTCTTCAGACAGAAAGCAAAGGTACACTCCAACTTACCCAACAAACTGCTCTTGTTGTTATTGGGCAACAAACAATCTGACACCAACATAACCAAGATCCTTTGTTCCACAGACAACCACTTCCTTTTCGGCCTCGAAGCTTGAGTGAAACCACTCGTACGGCCAAACAGATAGCTCAAGTAGTCACGGTACCCCATGGTATCCGTACTAATCCAAGAATGACCACTGTACTGAGACACTCCGGTAGCAGACAAACTCAACAACTGGGCTAACCTCTTCTCAGACAACACAACCTTCACACCTCTCACCTTAGAGGTGATCTCAAGCCTTTCACCTTCCTTCGTCACAACCATGTGACGGTAAAACTCTTTCACCAAACTCGGGTAAGTCTCGGCCCTTATGGCGAGAAAACCATCCAACAAACCTTAAAACTTAAGCAAATCCAACAAGGAACTTGAAAAAGATTCCGGATCAAAAGCTTTACCTTCAAGCACAAGGTAGTGGGCATCCACCCATTCCGCTTTTCTAGCCAAGCTTGACCTTCTAGGCATGGTGAAAGATGATCCAAAGCTCAACAAACAAAGCCCACAACTTCTTCTCCTTCTACCGCACTCTCGCGGCTCTCTCTCCCTCTCGCTGCTCTCTCTCTCGCTGATCGGCGGCACGGCACACACAGCACGGCGGCGACGACGGGACGGCGAAGCTCCGGCGGCGAGGCGACGGGCAGGTGGCGCTGGGCGATGGGGTGGGGTGGCTTCGGGTAGCTCACAGGTAGGGAGAAGGAAAAAGATGAAGAGAATTTTGGGGAAGAAATTAGGGATTTGGGTGAGATTGGGAGAAAAAGATGATTAAATTTGGGGATTTTGGGTAAAGTGGGATTTCAAGGTTTAAAAGGAATTAAAATTAGTTAGGGTTTCAAGAAAGATAATTGGCTCAAGTGGTTTAGAGGTTGGGCAGAAAAGAAATTGGTTAAGGTTTGAAACTCAAAGGCTACAAAGAAACATTAGGCTCAACTTTTAGGCTACACAAGGAAAGATTTGGTAGGG